AATACAGAATTTGTAAAGCCCTCTTATAGATATGCAAGATCGGTGACAAGGAACTTAGAGTTGACAACAAGGTTAACTACTCCATCCTCACCATCTTCCTCCCCGCCCCGTCCCTCCCCTCCCCCGATATTTTTAAGTATTGGTTGAAGCAAAGGATAGTAAGCAGAGAGACACTTAGCTATGTTAACTTCAAGTCAAGTAATTGGCCGAGTAAATTAGCACCCTATAGACTAACCAGAGACAACATATACGTGCACACAGAATTAGATAAAGTGAGTGTCAGCCCATGAAAGCCTTGTGCTCCGTGTGCGTGTATTTACACACACGCACACAGTTTGGTTTGTTTATAAGGTGCAAATCTACCCTGCCTACTACAAAGGACCATGTTAATCATGTGAGCTTCTCCAACAGTGGACACAAAACAGCCAAAAGAATGAGTTATATTTTGCCACCAGAGATGGACTTCCTTGCTACTAAGGAAGGTCTCAGGTATCAAAGGACATGCACATGCTGCTGGGTGAGGTGTTGCTGGGACAGCTGCTTTCTGAAAGCACCACTGTCTTCTTCTCCATCACCTCAACTTTGCACAGAGATCTTGAAGGTGAATCTAGATGCAAGAAAGAAAGGCACAAAGTCAGCAGTAGGAGGGACAGGACCTGCCTAAGGTTGCCTGCCTCTGAGGCACAAACTTTGCCCATTACAGGGAAGACTATGGCACTGGGTCCATCAAAGCCTTTCCACCCAGCGGTGTGTAAAAGTGGGGAACCTTCTAGATCTCCATCAAACATGGAGCAAGTCATGTAGCATCCCAGACACTGGTCACAGTGCACACTGGTCTCCTACCCAGTCCTGTGCAATATGTCAGTGTTCCCACCTGGAACTGAAGCTAGGGAATGCTACCAAGCCAAAGTGGAAAGCATTTGGTTCTAGTCAGCACATGACAGTACTTAGTGCACAACGCTGACATGAGGAACACCACAGTTCAGCATCAGACTTACTTTAGAGATGAGGCAATGGAAGCAGAGAGACAAACTGATTTCCCCAGAGTCATACAGGAAGCTAGTAGCAGAGCAAGAATTGTCAGAAGCAGAGGCCCTGGGTGCCAAGTGTACTTTCCTAGTCACAGCATGATGCCAACAACAGAACAGCAGCATAGCCCAGTGCCAATAACTCCTTTCCCACACCACAGGCTGCAGGCACCCTTCTCGTTATCTATATGACGAGCACATATGCAAGGACTGTTGCATTTGACAGCTACAGAAGCTAACTACATGCTATAGGACTAAGCCTGGTGAAATTAAGAGCTGCTTTATTCCCTCACTACAGATACCAGCAACGTGTCTAAGTCACATACTAATCAGACCTTACCCCCAGCTTGCAGTCCACTTTGGGCCTGGACTGAATGGTGGTGACAGTGGTCACAATAGTGCCATCAGGCATGATAGTACGGTCCATCTCAGTCTTCTTGGGTGGAGTCATGCTGGTGCGGAGCGATGCAGTATGCTGGGTACTCAAGGATGCAGGGGACTGTTGGTAGAAAAACTCTGAGAAGAGGATACAAAGGAGTCATGCTGCACCACCCTCTGACCACCACCCAGGTACAAAGGCATTGGCTGGGATGCACAGGCCCCCCATAAGTCACAACAAAAGAAAATCTTACTGAGGTCTTCAGAGGTTTGGGCTAAATATGGTGTAGTAATGAAGATGCATACTACATGACACTTTTTATTGGCCATCCTCAGGAGTGGCATGATTTTCTTCCTCAACCTTAGTCACAGAAGGAGCTTCTGCTAAGCCTGCACTTTCTACATCTACCCAGAGTGAGCAGGCGGGTCCTAGACCCCTACCTAGCATCACTGTTTAAGAGGCAACACCAACCCAGTGGGTCCATCAGGCCAGGAAGACAGAGGTCTCCAGTCACAAAGACCAGGCAGCCAGCAATGATCATTGTTCCTCCTTTAAATTACCATATTTACCCAAATCCAAGATAACTTTGATTTTAAACCACCCCCACCCCCGAGTAATTAGATTCTACACATGGAAAATATATAATGTTGTTATAATTTACCATGTACAGAATCTAATTATTGGAGAGTTGTCTCCCCATACCTGCCCCCTACCCTACCGCATTCCCCTGTGGTGTGCCTGTGCCCCTGCCACCTGCCCTCCCCACCTTGTGGTACCTGAGCCCCTCATTCCCCCTGCTGTCTGCCCCACATTGTGTACCCTCAGTTCAGGACTCTAGACCACATCAAGGTGGGGAGCAGTGGTGAGCAGCAGTTGCAGCCCAGGCCTTGGCCCTGACACAGATTTGGAGCTAGGGTTGCCACCGCCTCCACTGCCAAGCCAGAGCAGGACCAGAGCTGCATCTAAGCATACACAGCAGTGGCAGCAACTGTGACTGTAGCTCTAAGCCCAAACCAAACCTGGATCAACACGTGGAGTTTGCTAGGCTCCACAAAACAAACACGAACAGAGCTCTGGATACACACTCACGGAGTTTGCTAGGCTCCGTGGAACGACCGAAATGAAAGTCTGCAAGGTGACTCTCCGCGAGCGCGCAGGGTAGCGTACGTTGAAGGATCGTGCGGTGACAGGGAGAGAGTTTTGGTAGCTGATCAAACCACCATTCGGTCCGAGATATACGTAGAAATCCACGAGGTAATCGTGGACTTCTTGCCGGAATTCTCTCGGATTTCTCCCGGAATTCTCAGAATCGGGGTTCTCAGGATCCTCCTGAGATTCTCGGAGATCTCTGACTTGGGCGGAAACTGCTCAAGCCTCTTATACGGCTAGCAAGCCAATAGCTAGCCCCCACCTATGCCCACATTTAGAA